CAGGGGGGCATGCCCCCCTGTTTTTACCCATAATTTGATATTTTACAGTTAGATTTGAAATTGTCTTGAAAATAATTGATTTGCGACAGTTTTAGTGGCTTTATGTGTGATCTGCAGCAAACAGTACTGCAGTTTGACCCCTGAAACAGTGCATCTGTGTGCGGAAGTGAAAGTAAAAATGTACCGAATATCTAGATTCTAGATCTAGAGATATACGGTCCGCTAGATATCTAGAATCTAGATTTAGATCTAGACTAAAGTAGATTCTAGATAGACTGGAGAGAGAAGATGAGCAATCGAAGTTCCAAGCACTTACTATGTTGTAGCAGGCATCAAGGGGAGAAAGGTCTGTGAGAGTTTGTGCAAAGTCAAGAAACTTCTCATCGGAGGACAGAACCTCAAAACGGATTGGTGTACGATTTTCTCCTCCTAATGTCCCTGCAGCTTTCTCTCCCCCTTCTCCGGCACCAAACAACCATTCAAACACTGATGACGAGGGCTGACAAAATATGATGGTAAACAAGAGGAAAGCATGAACACAGTGATGTTTCAAATTCATTGCAACCTCAGGGCGATAGACACTTGAAACCTTTCATCAAAAGACAAAACGTTGGTTAATCACAAGTGCAAATGTTGTGAGTGTTGTGTGTGACTGATGTGAGATTTGGTTGGTAGAGCTTGTACAGTAAAGCAACAATTCACAAGACGAGCCTGTTTCTTCACTTTGAATGTTGAATGTGAAAGCGGAAGTAGAATTGTTTGTTACTTTAAAAGCCCTCGCTGAATATAACCTCTCCTCTTCATTGGTCAAATAAATAACACAGAGGGAGCATTCATTTATTTAGTTACTCCACCATCCTCGAGCTTGACAGATATTGGTATACTGGTCACCACAGCATTACTGAATATGATCCATCAATTAACAATTGTCTTTTCCATACCCTCTGTGTGTAGATTATTATGCTAAGCTAATTAGCATGACTCTCGAGTCTCCTCGCAGCCTAGGCCATGGGCCAGGCCCTGACCTGTGCCTTTCCAAATTTACTTCCTGTTTATTGCATCACTGCAATATTTAGTACGTCTTGAAATGCATGCAAGGACTTGCCAAAACAAATACAATTATGCCAAAAACAATTTAAAAGAAAAAAAATGGAGATCAATATTATGCATTAAGGAAGCCAGCAAGATCAATGGATGTCATTTTACTAGAATTGATGAAATGTATAGGAAAACAAAAGTAAAAAAGATAAACATACCCCCC